TTTGTCTTATTCACGCCCCTCCCCCCCCCCCAAAAAAAAGGACTGCATATATTTTAGTCTTTAGTGGATGCTAGCAGTTCTAGCCAACTTTTTCTTCTTTAATATCCCCCAGGAACTTCATTTAGATGCAATTTTACTTTTCATGCTTGGTCCTGCATAATTTAAAATAGAGGAGACAGAGCAAGACAGCTTTTTAATAGAAGTCTCAGGTGGGTAAATGTGATAATCCAAATGTAGAGATTTCAGAGTCCCCTAAAGATATGAGGCTGACAATGATTGAGCCTACTTACATTAAAGTGACTAACAAAAAAATAAAACCAACAACCTCTGCCAGACTGTTATGTAGTCTTAATCAGACAAAGTTCCGACACTTCTTAGCAGCGCAAGTGTGCCTGCTGCCATATACTGCTACCGGCTGCCTCACTGGTCAATAGGAATGCAAAAGAGTTGGGGAAGCATCAGCAAAACCAAGAAGTGCCAAAGCTTTGCCCAACAAGAACAGTCCTTTCAAGGAATAGCGGGGAAACTGAAGCTGCTGCAGGTGTGTTTAAAAGTCTGTCTTCCCTTTAGAACTGTCAACATTCTGTTTTGTAATAGCATGTGGGAACGTTAACACCACTCCCTTCCAGTGTTTGCAAAGTGAAGACAGAAATCAAATGCGCATTTTGGAGCTCGTCCACACTTCTGATGTATTCAGCCACTAAATCCCCAAACCGCTGCACTCTGATGCCATAGCTCCAATAAAAACAACTTTACCAACTTTAACAAGACATCACTCAGTCCTTGCAGATCTGTGGGATTTACAGACTGAAAGCATCCTATTCTGGTTGCTAAGGTGACAGTCACAATGAGGCCAAAACTCAGTTTTGAGAAGACTGTGTGGGCTAAGGAATTGGAAGCAAGTCCATCATAACAGAAACAAAGGGACTTGCGCTGCAGACCGCCTACTGCAGTGGGAATTGTCTACACTTAATACATTATTCTGAAACAAGTACGAAAAGCAGGAAAATCAAAAGTCCTTACATATGCATACATGTTTCAGGCCAGTGATTCAAATCACTGGAGGTAAAACTGAACCATTAGAGCCAAGCAGCTAGCATTTTCAGAAAGGCCCACCATTTGTGAAAACACACACCAGTGAACCCACTGTGTATCTAAACACGTTGCTGCTGTATGTGAAGATTCAGTCCAGCCTTAAGAGGAAACCTGTGCAGAAAGGAATGTGCAGACTAACTGCTGATCTCTAGCCTTGAAAAGTCTAGTTGCCCGTCAGGGTGATGCAATGACCAGCATCAGAATCACCAACCTGGAACAAGTATGGAGACTAGAAGAAGTTCTGCCTTCATCTACAACATACTTGTCAAGTACAGAAACCAGAGAAGGCAACTACAGTTTTCATGGCAAAAAATAGCAGCCAACATATTTCTCTCGGCACCTTACCTTGAAGAAACATATCTGCATAGTGGAGTTTTGCCAGTTAGTTAACCGGCAACTTTGTTTTGATCTCATACTTAAAGGTCAGCACAAAGCATAACCTTAAATTAACTCATTATTAAAGCAAAGCCTAGGTGGTCTGAAAAAACTTTAGCAGTTTCATATTCCAATACAGTTCTTGTACTAACCAAAATGCTTATTTTCAATAGATTTTAGTTGACGGTCATAAGAACATGTTTAACAAATTAGACCACCATCATATCTAAGTAGTAAATTATGTGCCTTTAGCCATGTACATTTACCCATACCATGTAAGAGGAATGTTTATGCCATTACTGTCCTCTAAAAACCCCACTAATTAAATCTTGTACGGTAGCTAGGGTGGTGATACTTGTGTAGTGGAAAGATATTGTCTTCTGCACCTAAAGGCTGGGCTGCTTTCTAAACTGCTGCCCTGTGTCTTGTGTGTAAATGCCACAAAGTCTTACCCATCATACAAACCCTTATACCAACCATACAATGAGATGTTGTAAAGGGGAGCATTAGCATCAGCTGCAAGCCAGCAGTGGCAATTGCCATCACAATGGTGGCTGCAGTGGCAATAAGAACACAAAATTAATACACCCCACTCACATTACACTTTGTACAGTTTTTATCTTAAAAGAAAAAAACATTTTTTTTTAAAGCACAGCGATGGGCAACAGTTAACTATGGGAACAGATTATAACTTCTAATAAGCACAGGTGGAGTTGCTGAATAAAAAAAGATAAATATGGTCCTAAGAACTCCAACGCAGTGTTAAAATTAAAAGTCAAAGGGAGTAGGATCTATAAACTGAGGGAGAGTTTCTGCTTCTGAAAGCAGTTAGCTTGGAATTTATAAACGTACACATTGTTGCCCATCATTTTCAACCCACATGTGGAAGGACCCAAATTACAGTAATCCCATATTATCTTTCAGCTTACAGCTGACGGAAACTGAGAACTGCAAAAAGGGGATTCTGCTAAAGGCTCTAGTACTACGAAAGTAACTCACAACTGAGAGAAAAAAAAAAAAAGAATAGTGAAAAAAAACACAAATTTGAAAATATACAGAAAAAGGGATGTCTTCTGCTTTTCCAATACCCTCTCTCCATGGGGGTAGGAACAAAACCCAATATCGGAGTCACCTTGGGTCTTGAAAGGAAAAACACACCATAGGATTGTATAAAAAGTAATCAATGCAGTAAAAAGAATCAGGCTCCATTCACGCTGGGGCGGCTGTCTATGCGTATTCAGCTTTACGAATACGCACAGAGCCGTTCTAAACAGAACAAACAATGTACTTTAATGTGCATTGTTCAGACTATTGCAGGGACCACGCAGCCCCCAAAATAGTGCTAGCACGATATGGCGGATTCCGCATGTTCGCGGCTATACAATAGCCGCAAACGAGCGGAATCCGTGCTGTTTCAAATATAGCGTATGCGCCCCGAGCAGTCTTCCGCGCGCAAAACCCATACGCTATAATATGGAGCCGAAGACTATTCTTTGAGTGCACTGAACAAACCTCAACGCATTGAGTGCAGCTATGGGATTAATGGAATTCGGGTACCCACTTCAACAACACAACTTACCTTCCGGAACCAGCCCCTTTAAGGGCATGTTAAACATTTAAACAGACTGAACATTAAATGAACAGTGTACAAATTACTAATAAAAGGAACTTACAGTGCATATCTCGTTCATGTTCATATTCGATAAAGGCATAACCACGAGGCTTTCCGGAGCGCTTGTTATAAACCATGTGAATCTATGATTTGGAGAAATAGTAGTCATAATCTGCAGCAAGGCTTTTATTAAAAATAATTTTTCATTATTCTCTGGAGGTCAATTATCTCAACAAGTGATTTCAGCGAAGCTGGCTCCTCTACAATTGGCACTAATAAAAACTCCAGTGTGTTTCTTTAGAGCTACGTTTGTGCCGCAAAAATTAACATTTGTGCTGCTTTTATTTTTAAGAGAATAGCAATTGTTTTTTTTAAGATGACATCACCCAGACCCCTACAACAGCAAAACGACATGTAACCGGACTGGGTGGTTAGTGCCACGTTTGTGCTGGTTTGTGGCATTTAAATCTCCATTCTTTCACCTTTCTTTTTTGAGTTAACTGAAGGTCACCTAACCCCCCTAAAACAGCCAAAAGATACGTAACCAGGTTGGCTGGTTAGTGCCATGTTTGTGCCCTAAAAATTAACATTTGTGCTGCTTTTATTTTTAACAGCAATTATCCTAAAACCATAATTGCTATTATCTTAAAAATTAGAGCAGCACAAATGCTAATTTTTACAGCACAAACGTGGCAGTGACAACCAGCCCGATTATGTATTTTGGCTGTTTTGGGGGGCTGGGTGACCTTTAATAGTTTACTCGAAAACGAAAGGATAGAATGAAGATTTAAACGGCACAAACGTGGCACTAACCAGCAAGTTTCATGTGCTTTAGCTGTTGTAGGGGGGGCTGGGTGACATCTTAAAAAAAATAAAAAAATTGGCTTTAATCTTAAAAATAAAGCGCAAAACAGCACAAACCTAACACTAAAGAAACACATAAGTTTTTATTTGTGCCGATTGTAGGGGGGCCAACTTTGCTGAGCTCAGCTGGTGTCCTCTTGAAAATTGCACCCTGGTCAGCCAAGATGAATCACTGGCATACTTCTGGAGGTTACTAGCTGTCCTAAGCAAATGAGACCCAAGTCTGCCATGCCTTAGACCAAGTGCCCTCACACATTTTCATTGCCAATGCCATTTTCCTGCTGACAACTCTTTGTATCCTTTCCAAATTGGCGCCCATGACAGACAATGGCTGTGCATGACTAGGACAGACACCATTCTTGAGATACAATGCGCTGCTTTTAATCTAAACCTGCTCAAATATCTAAAAGATGTAAGAAACTATGCAGTACTATGAGAAATGTAAAATTAAGTGACATGAAAAATACAAGAATGAAAATAGAATTTTTATTGTCATTTTGAAAACTGTCGCTAATTCTCAGCAAAGTGGCACTCGTGAAGTCCATGCCGCACTATAAAATAGTACTGTACATTACCAACTGCTCCACCACGCATACTGTTAATTTTATACCCCCAAAGTGCTCCAAGCTGTAGGCTTGATCACATTATCTACTCAATATCATTCTACCTGGTACACAAGCTGTGCAATTACATACACAATGCAACTACAGTCTTCTCTGCAGAGCTCCACTCTTAAAATTCATCTAAATGAACCTTAAAATGTATGGTGGTGTTAAACATTGTAAAATATAAAACCCTGCAGCACGGGTTGCAGTATCTGTATAATATTTTATATTATAACAAAACCTGCAGCAAGGGTTTATATTTTACAATGGTTAACACTATACATTGGTTCATTTATCCATCATACTGCTCTGTGCATTCTGCTTTATGTTCAATGCTACTTTGTATACACTAGAGTTGTGTTAATATTGACACTATGGGATGTCCCCCAATCCAAGTTGCCAAATCCTTGCTGTGCCTAGAAAAGGGACACTAACAACTGCACGCTGCACACTTGTTAGTATCATTTTTATGTAAGATCACAGAATTTCAATCTGAAGGAGGTATGTCATCTAATCATTGTAAATCACAACGTTTTAGCAACACTTGAAACCAAAAAAATTTCAGATCTCTACATACGCGTTTAATAGGTCCATACACCTCAAACTCTCTTCGTAGTTTAGATTCCGTTGTGTCATAGTTCTGGAAGAAAAAAAAAAAAAAAGAACACTCAAATTTACCAGCAGAAGCTACTGCTCAAGCTCTTTCCAACTTAAACCACATCAGCCATCACACTTGTACGCTGCCTGCAGAACAGAGCAATTTTTACATTTCGGCTATAGGCATATTGATTTGGAAACAGCTGTGTCATTACTTGACAAGGCAGAGTCTACCCTTTTCAAAAATGTTTTTATAGTCACATTAAGAAAAAAAAAAAAGTTACATTACATTTGTGGGACTAAAGGTGCCAATACACCTTAACACCATCGCACGACTTTCATTGTGCGATGGTTGTAAGGTAATTAAAATCTCCTACGATCTGCCCATTTTGGACAGGCAGATCGTACTTGCGATCATCGCAAGCCCTCCCCGCTGAGGGGAAGGCTTCCGATAATTCCAATGCTGAGCGGGCAGTGTGCACTTGCGCACACTGGCCCGTTTGGCATGTCTTCCGAGCACGCCACTTACCCGGCGAAAATTGCACGCTTTTCGGCAGGTTTTCCAGCGAGCGCAAAATACAAAAGACGTGCGAACGTACAGTAGAAACGGTTGCACGCCTTCCATACACCTGCCGATCATACGATCTCGGGATCACCCACGATTATCGTACGATAATCGGCAGGTGTATGGGCACCTTAAGTCTCTCCATTCACAGATCCCTGTGTAGAGATTATGCTGCTGTGCAGGCACAGTGTTGCTAATTTCAAACTCAAACCAAAAGCTGCAGGGAGAAGGACCCCGCAATTCAGGTAAGAGTGTTTGGCCAATGTCATATGACACCGTAAATGTTGACTATCCCTTTAAAAAAAGAAAAGGTAAAAACTAATACATTTTTTTTTAGGACAAACAAGGCTTTTGTGATATAGTCTCGCAAAAAAAACAACCACCACATGCACTTTATATTTGAGTGTTTTAAAAAAAATTGTGAATAGTGCTACTGTAGAAAAGTGATAGAATAAAATATTAATTGGGACAAGGGATGACACTAAAATTATGATTGATACAAATTATTGCAAAGTTATTCAAAAATGAAATAAGGTTTTTAATTTTTTTTTTTTAAATGAAGCTAAGCATTAAAAGTTACATTAATTGTAACAATAAATAAATAAAATTATATTAGTCGGGAATTGGGTTAACCCCTTCACAACTGACATTGGGGCTGTTTAAATAGACTCCGCCGGGACTCTGTTTAAACTTGTAAAGCCGACTACACATGTTGGGCATCGCCACGCATGCCAGAATGAGAGCAATTCTAGGGCCAGTATTTTTGGGCATCTCTAAAATCAATGACCTATTGGGGCTTTTAAAGTGTCATCTGTGGACGTTTGGGGGTTCTGAAGTTTGTCGCCGTTTCACGGACGCACACAATTTTTAACCTGGGCAGGTTGGGTATTTACTCATTGTAACCTCATCTTTTATATTTTATGAACAAAAATTGGTATTTTTTTGTGTTTTGGGGCATTTCAGTAGATTTTTACTAAATTTTGGGGTTTGATTAGGAGTTGCGCTAATATCGTGCAACATAAAAATTTGCAACCACCATTTTATTCTATAGGGTCTTTTACCACTCATCAGTGATTAATGGCCCTGGAATTATTGCTCTCACTGCGACTTTCTCGGCGATATGCAACATGTGTGGCGTAATGGGCGCAATCATCGTTGTCGCACATATGTGCACCCGATGCATGTTTGCACACGAATATGTATGGGAGGGGACTAAAAAAAGTGTGTTTTTTTTTATTCTTTCATGTGACTTTTTTTGGCAACTTAGATTTTTCCTATTTTTATATTAACCTATATTGTTATCACATAGGGGGCTAAGAAGCACCCCTATGTGGTAGGGAAGAGGATTGACAGGTCCTCTTTATGGAGACATCATGGGTCTCCAAGACCCCAATGTCACCTAGGCCCCCCCCCCCAAAGAAGCTGATGAAGCAGAGATCTGCTTCATCAGCTTCTGAAACTGGAGAGTGACCGCAGAATGCGGAACCGATGTAATATACATCACTTCCACATTCTGACACCGGAAAGGAGGGGATCGGAGGGAAATTGTGTACCGATCTCGTCCCTGAGCAACCGTGCTGGCCCCGGGCTCGCACTGGGCACAGTGGAGCTAGGGACCAACGGGAGGGGCCGCACGTTAAACAAGCGATCCGCCGGCTCTATAGCTGGCGGATCGCTTGTAGGTAAACAGGCATCGCTGCCTGTTTAGATTTTGGCAGTTTGCCACGCGGATAACAAGTTTAATAATTAAATTGCTGCTTAAAGAAAAAATGCATAAAGTGACATTAAAGTCTAAATCGCACCCCAATGCTGTGCTTTAAGGACTTGCCTTAAATCATGCCTGTGGTTCCGATCTTATTTCTAGTAGTTTTCAGGAGTCCCTGATCAAGCGCTGCCTGCTGCATCTCCTGTGTCCCACTGTGTCTTTGGAGGTGCACGCTGCCGGGCTGCCTGCATTGACTTACACCGTCTCTCCTCTTCTCCCGGCCGAAGATCTCTTCTGCGCATGCGCTCGAGAATCTTGAGATCTTCGGACAGGAGTGCACAGAAGAGACGCAAGTTTTAACCTTTTTTTGGCAACTTTTTTTATTTTATTACAATGTCTTTGCATATATCAACTGCATGCTAGCAGTAGATGCATGCAAAAAAGAACAAACCCTGAGGGTTGAATTATGTTTTAATTCTCAATGAAAAGTTGTTCTCCTTGCTGAGTTTTCCTCTGGATTGCATGTGGGGATGGGAGGGTAATGTTTACAATAAATAACCCTGTCTGTACAGTGCTAGCAGATTGCATCAGTTGTAAACTAGATCTAAACACTGTTAGTACTAACAAAGGGTTAAAGATCCAGAAGCATGGTATGATAACGAGGGGGAGCTTAGTCTGACATCAAAAAAAGGGTAATACTTAGAAAATATATTTTTAGATATGCTGTGTGAATAGGAACACAAACTGTGGGTGTTTATTCTGCATGCAAAATACACTTTAAATAGAAGCACAGGTACTCTAAAAGTGCATATAGTATTCCTGAAATGGCTTTATTGCTTAGCGAGGTGGAAACCATTACCAAACACTTGGCTACCTCATGCCCTCTGTTTTTCTAACCCATACATTAACCCCAAAACAACAAAGTACAAATTAAAATAGTTAATATATAACGACAGTTGTTGCTGCAGTTATTGTATATTACATAAAATTAAGAACATTAAAAAAGGGAAGCTTACCACTCGGGCAACAAATAGTGTTTTGAATGCATCTCCTTGAGCATTTGGATCATTATGAGGATCCCCTGGAGACCAAAGAAAAATAGTGAGATGTTGAATGCACTCATCTTGGTTTCATAGCATCAGGAAGAACTAATCAAATACATTAAAACGGTTAATGTTGGAAGCACTTACAAACTTTCAGTTCATTTTCCACATCTTGCTGTCGTCTTTCAATCTTCTCCCTCCTCTGCAAAAGTACATTAAATAAATAACTGCTTACACACTGAACAAGCTTATTAATTTCACACATCCCAAGCCAACCTGGCAAACCTATCAGTTTAAAGGGTAGAGCCCAAATGCTCTACCCTTTAAACTGATAGGTTTGCCAGGTTGGCTTGGGATGTGTGAAATTAATAAGCACCTACCTAAACTTTTGCACATATACATTTTCAAATGTATCTACTTTGTATTGCTTACCTTCCTTTCCATCCGCTCATCCCTGGTCTCTGCCCTAGTTGGTGGAGGAGCATCTCTGGGGTCCTATGCATGAAAGAAAATGTAAGCATCAACAATCTTCAGTACATGATGAATTAACATCCTGTAACATTTACTATCATCTCTTGGACACTCGAGGAAAGTTCAATTAGTTACGACATGCTTGTTGTGGTTTTTACAAGTAGTTCCTACTCTCCCTGCTAGTCTTTTAAAATGGGGAAAATGCAACAGGACAAGTAGGAATATCCAACAGCAAATGGAAACAGAAAGTTTTATACAGGTAGGAAAAGAACCAGAACCTATTGCCCAGATCTCACTACTGGAGTTTATAAGAAACAGAATAAAACTAGGAGTGGACTCTGGCCACTAGACTCCATGCATCTCTATAACAGAATATTTGCTGAGTATGCCATCTCTTTAAAACATAAAGCTCATAATCACTATCACTTCTTACCTCAAATTCTTTGATATAAGGAGCAATTCCACAGTATGGTTGATTATGATGCTTTTCATGAGGTAGTTTATCCAAAGGTGGCAAATATGGAACTGGATCTCTTGGAGCAAACAAAGCTAACAAGTTCGGGGGAAGGAACTGCGTCATTTTGAAGACCTATTAGACAAAAAAAAAAACACAAAAACAAATGTTTAGTGAAAGCTAAAACATATTTAGCTATTATTTGGACCCTGAACAACTTGCATAATGTCAATAGCAGCCAAACTCAAAATCCCTAAATGCAAACCATTTCACCTAAAGAAAAATAATTAATTCTGTTCAGCCAGTCTTGCAAACATGTGTCTCATTGCCCATGGCAAACAATCAGCATCTCTCTTCAGTTTGCTCAGGTAAGAAAATGAGAGAGAGAAGCTGATGTGTTGCAGTGCAAATCTGCTCCAGTTTTGATAAATTCCCCCCCCATTATGTTTTTATTTTATCTGTTCTAACAGGAGATCTTCCTCATCCACACAGAGTTATGAGTGTGTGCTCCTTCATGAGGAGGGGGTCACCACACTGAGCTCAGCAGAAAGGAATCAACTGATTGAAGTTTACAGATAAAAATCCAGAGATACCAAGATCCCGTGGAGGGAATTTTATATTTCTAGGACTCTGGCCTATGAAAAGTCAATTAGAGCTGCAGCTAACGACAGAAAACAGCACTGACTCCTGACAATGAACACACTGCAGCTAAAATACTAACAGCCCAACTCCAGCACACACACAAAAAAAAAACGCGGCCAAAAACGCAATGCATCAGTAGCTCAACGTCTGCTGATCAGGACCTGATCTCATGTGAACAGGCCCCAAAGTTGAAAACTACTTCACCATGACCCACAAGTTTACGTTCAAGCGCATTTCCACTGTTGCAGCAAAATTGGGATCACACCTTTTTTTTATTTAAGTTTCACTAACAAAGGGTTAAAGGTCTAGAAGCATTGTATGTTAATGAGGGGAAGTTCAGTCTGTCCATAGTCTTTCTATAGGACAGTGGAAACTGACAGAAGCTTGAAAAAGGCCAGCTACACAGACATCTAAAAAGGTAAGAAATGTTTTATTTTTAGATATGCTGCGTAAACAGAAAAACACAAAAATAGTTGGGCTCTCACATTTGACTGCAAAAGTGGAAATACATTTTTTTTTGGCAATTTCTGGGCAAAACTTAATCTCACCCCCACAGACATTCAGTGAGGGGAATTTATCAAACATGAGCAGACAAACTCTGGAGCACATTTGCACTGCACCAATCAGCTTCTCTCATTTTCAATTGTAACCTGAGCAAACCGAAGAGAGATGCTGATTGGTTGCCATGGGGCAACTGTTCTAGATTCTGTTTGCTCCAGTTTTTATAAATTCCCCCTAATGTGTCTATGAGCATGTACGTACATATGGGAGTATTTTAGGATGTCGCCACAGCTTTTAGTTGAGGTAATGCACATTAAAACATGCATTTGAACACATTTCTATAATGCACAGCATATGAGCAATGGGGGCCATTCTTACTGAATTGCTTCTTAAATTCACATACATAGTAGATCTAACCCTACTTGCACTACAGTGCGCCATAATGCAAAGATGTGCACTGTGCTGCCAAAAATAGTGCAGGTGCTTTTTTGTGCGATGAGGGCTAATTTAAAAAAGAAATTAGCTCCTTTAATGCAATGCACAAAAAGGTGCGAGGTTTGGTACGCAAAAACAGTACTTCTAGTGTTCCCTGTGTTTTTAATGCCTTATATTTTCTTAACCTCATTTATGTCACAAAAGGACAATATTATACTATTGAGGTGGAGCCAGGGTTTTCCTATGGAGACATCAGAGGTCTATTAGACCCCTGATGCCTACACTTTCTCCAAGCATGCATTTTATGGACAAAGTCTCTTGTAATGTTTACCTGACTCCTAAAATTCTGATGTCTTCAGATGTTATTAGCATAGCACAAATGGAACTTTAAAAAAAAAAAAAAAAAAACTTTCCCTTGCAGTAGTGCTTTCCTCGCACACTGCAAGGGTTAAGTACTAATTTTGTCTGGGAAAGGGGGGCGGGGTGTGAAGAGTCAGTCAAATACAGCAGATGTACTCACCTGATCCTTGGTCCCCCGGAGGTCAACGCTCTCCGCCTTCTCTGGCTGTGAAATGTCCCTTGGCATCCTCAGGTCTTATGCAAGTCAATGGAACTGCATTAGATGCAAAGACATCAGCAGTCATTAGACTGCCGGAGCCCAGGGACAAGTCTAGCAGGTTGGTGGGATCGAGGATCAGATGAGTATAAATGCTTTAGTTATGCCTTGAACAATTGGCCTTTGCAGTGCGGGGGTAGCCCCGCTGCAAGGGTATGTTTTTTAAATTCCCGGAGTTCAAAAAATGAATCCATCAGTTACACTATACACAGGCTAAAAATTGTAGAGTATAGTCCTTGAAACATACGATTATTGCCATAGGTGTGGTGACTCCACAGACAATATGGTGCACATGCCCCCGCATCAGTACTTTTACAGACTTGTCTGTGCTAAAAAAAAAAAAAAAAAAAAAAAAAAAAAAACAAAAAAAAAAAAAAAAAAAAAATCAATAGAACTTCCTCACTCCAGGAACCCCATTGGTCTGTCTTTTGGGCATGAGTACTTTGTGCCTGACCCATACAGTTCCGCATTCTAATTTTCCATGCTAGGAAAGCCGTTCTACTTAAATAGAAGAGTGAAAATCCTCCCACTAAACAGCAAGCGTTTTGTCAAATCAATCTGGAACTTCCCAAAATGTAAAACTTGGATACACACTAACATGCCCTAAATTAAATATTGGACAAGTACGATTGGATTTCTCCACAGCTCTACTGCCAGATTCCCCCCCCCCACCTGCTAGCCTCTATACAAAATGATGTTAGTTTGTACCCTTTCCCTGTATATCCACTATACTGTATCCTGCATATTGTGAGGAGGAGACAACAAATGAATGAATGAGTTGTGGGTGTGGCTGTATGCGGGTCCCTTCCCAATGTTATTATTGTTCTCAGGCCAGGCGCCTTTAGATTGCTTTGCCCCCTGTGTTTCCTAGGGATCCGCATATCCCACCCTTCATTATGTTATCGCATTCGCTATTTTTTGCAATCGCACCGAACGCAGGGCATTACAAGACCACGTGTTCTGGTGTGGCAATCACACTGCGGGCAGGAGGTGCGTCTGTGGTGCCACTGAAATTAATGGCGCCACCACAGAACACGAGGAGGCTTTGTTTAAGCGATCCAGTGGATTAATGGTACAGAACCGTGCAAGAACACACAGGATGATGTGAAGGAAAACCTAATGAACCTAATGCAAGATACAAAATTAAAATAAACACCTTAAAAAAAAAAAGTGGGTACTCAGTATGTTCAAGCAGCACAGGGAAGATCAGTGAACAGGAGTTCACCAATCTTCCATTAAAATTCATTCTTGGTTCAGATTCATACCAAAGTATTTTGTAGCTTGAAGATCAAATCTCAGCAACCAAGAACATTTGCTTAGTAATTGTGCGTTTGTAGCTCGACACCCAAAGCCTAAAAAGGTACACAAACATACTTTTGACGCAGAATGGGGTGTTTTGGCCCGGGACACTTTAAATTGAGACGCACAAGAAATGCCTGAACCTGAGTATTTTTAAGGATAAACAACCATGTCCTATCACCTAGCACAGGGTGGGCAAACTCTGGCCCTCCAGCTGTGGTGAAACTACAAATACCATCATAGATCTGGCTCTGGGACACATGCCTGTGAGAATCTTGCAATGCCTCATGGGATTTGTAGTTCCACCACAGCTGGAGGGCCAGAGTTAACCCACCCCTGACCTAGCATTCCATTGGCTAAAACAAACAAAAAAAAAAAAAAAAAAAGCACAAATAAAGCTCCAAAGCCACATGTAAAAAGGTCAAACTCCAGTGAGCATGCAGACGGAATATCTCCGGTGCCTCCACGCTCACAAAGAAACCATGTGAGCCTAAGGCTATGAGGAGAAAGCAGGCTGTGCAAGGCTTCTTTTCCCACCCAAATCAAATTAGCTGCAAACCCCACACATTTTTGGATAAAGATGCCCAAATATTAGACGACAATCTTGCAATCTAAAACCTATGATGCCACCCGCAGGAAACATCAGGGAGGTTAAAAAAACATCCACAACCACCACAGACGTCTGACGCTTCCATGCTTTATAAGCTATGCATGAACTTATAGTTAGAGACATGCTACACAATGATGCTCAATAAATAAGGATTATGTGTGCACACGGTGGTCAAAAAAAGCAGCATTACACAAAAAAAAAAAAAAAAATTGTTCGGACAGCTTTAGGGCCACCATACACGTTCAAATCTGTAAAATCAATTTTAGACATATCAAAACTATGCAACATATCCAATCAGATAGGCCCTAAAGCTCACCACACATTACAATCTCCTTTAGATCTACCAACTGTGTAGTTTACGTGCCTGTCTGGATACAGGCTGATTGAATAGATTGACTAGGTCCTCATTTTACATAAGTTTGGTCAATCTAAAGTTGGTTGCACAAAAATTGTATCGTGTATAAGCTACACGGTTGTTGGTCTAAATGAAACTCTACAATTAGATTGTAACATCTGTGTTCGATCTTCTATTGCCCACGAGCCTGGGAGAAGCTAAAATGCCACAAATCTGCCTCAACTCACACGTACATTGGTTTTGATGAACCATTTGCATTCGACTTTAACACAGAGTTGAAACCCTGCAATACTAACAAATCGGATACCGACAACGCGAGTCACATTTAGATGGTTGATTTCCGTATATCATTCTTCTTTGGCTATCCAGATACATTCATGAACATAATACATGGGCGTTCGAAACACATAACCTGCTATTGAAAGTGCCTTGTAGAGAAAGGCCTACACTTCTCCAAGGCCTTACTCCCGCCGTACAGATGCAACCCCAAAGCATAAGACCGTGCGAACGCGCTCATGGAGAGAGAGGCCGCTTGCTTCTAACTACAAACAATAAGCACCGTGGTGGGTGAGCCGTCGGCATTGCCTTAACACGTTCCCGCCTTACTTCACAAGCAATGCTCAGGCCTACAAACCACACACAATGCAACAAACCACACGCGGCCCGCTAACATTTACACGCTATAACATAGCGAAAGACATTCGCTTCTCTCCTCGTACTCACCCAGGCGGTGTCCGATGCCGCCGCTCTCCTCTGTGTTTCCTCTACTGACTCCGGTCCGGCCGTAAAAGTAGGCCGCACAAAGCATGAACGGAACTCACCGCGTCATGCGTGAATATCCATCCGCCTCACAAAACAACCACATGCTATACTCAAGCTACGCCCACTTCCGGGAATCTGAATGGGTCTTCCTCCCTGTGTTCTGCTGCGCGTAAACAAACCTGAAAGTTTTTAAAAAAAAAGGTCGCCGGGGGGGGGGGACAATGGTTATCATAATTCCTTCCGCGTTAGGGCGGCGTTCGGTGATTTCTAAGACTCAGCAGCAGAAATAAGCATGTAGACTAATTAGGTGAAATTGTTAGAAGAAATCTGGGCATTTAAAAAAAAAAACGTAACCCTTGCATTGGGGCTCCATCCACACTGCAAAGGTTAAGTGTTAATTTTTGGTCTAGGGCAGGGGTGGCAAACTCAATTTCATTGCGCGCAGCATCAGCATTATGGTTGCCCTTAAAGGTTCTATGGTGGGCTATGCAGACTTTTAGGTGGCTGCGCAGGTTCTATGATGGGCTATGCGTGGTCTATAGTGGGCTATGTGGATTCCTAGGTGGCTGTGCAGATTCTATGGTTTGCTATGCGTAGGGTTGCCACGTGTCCAGGATTCACCCGGACAGTCCAGGTTTTTAATGCTGTGTCTGGGTTTCATGGCAGCAGAAACCCAGACACAAGATGTCTGGCAGAAAGGGGCAACCAAAATTAAGATAGGGGCTACTGGCCTCCCACTGAAAATAGTCTCAACTGTGATATTTACATATGACTGGGTGGCGCTATTTACATATGAATAAGCTGCAACTCATTCTCCACCCAAAAATGTCTGCGCGTTGCTAGAGTGTTTGGGTTTTGTTTGAAGAAAAGGCGGCAACCCCTAGCTATGAGGGGTCTATGGTGGGCTGTGTGGCCTCTTAGGTGGCTGTACAGGTTCTATGGTAGGCTTTATGGACTCTACTGTGGCTGTGCATGTTCTATGCTGGGCTACGCAGGGTCTTGGGAGGGCTGTGTGGTCTCATCAGGGGTCCCGGTCGGTCTAGATGGGTGTGGATCCACAGGAAGGAGATTTGCTTCCGGTGCTGTAAACAGGCGCCGCGATTCACAGGAAGGCTGCTGGTACTTCGGCAGCCTCCCTGTGAAGCCTGACATCTGTTTACAGCGCCGGCTTCAGTTTCAAAATGTAAAGCTGCAGGAGAGGTGCAAGGGCCACATGAAATGGCCTGGCAGGCTGGATTCAGCCTGCAGGCCTTGTGTTTGACACATGCGGTCTAGGGTGTAAAATAAAAAAAATGCTCACCTGAACCCCAAGTCCTGCCTGGTTGTTAGACCAGTATGTGTAGACTCTTCTCACCAGAGCTCTGGTGGTCTCAGCCCTGCTGACGTCATCATGTTTATTACAAGTCCAATTTTTTTATGTCACACGGTATTTGCGCAAATATTTATCAACATTGATGGCCCTAGAATTTTTGCTCTCACTCCGACATTCATGGCGATATGTACCATGTGTGGCACAATTTTCGTTTTTGCACGTAGGTACACCCAACGCATGTTTGTGCCTGTATGTGCATGTACATGGGGGTGGGGGATTTTTTTTTCATTTTTTTACATTTTGTAATATGTGACTTTTTTTTTTGTACACTTAACTTTAATGTCATCTAGGGACCCCAAAGAAGCTGATGAAGCAGCAATCTGCTTCACCAGCTTCTTCTCCTGGCTGCAGGTGCTAGAGAATGTAAACAGTGACACTGAAAGTGATGTAATACACGTTACTTCCAGGTCCAGTGATCGTAGGAGCGATCAGTGGCTAAAAGCTTGCTCATCTCCCTCCGATAGGCAAGGGGGTCCCGCTGTGCCAGTCCTGGGCTCACACTGGGCACAGCAGAGCCCGGGGTAGCTGGCGGCAGAGAGGGACACACACATTCCGCCCCACCGTACAAGCCATCCGGCGGCTATATAGCCGCTGGATGGCATGTATGTAAACAGCCATCGCCGGCAGTTTAAAGCGATATCAAGAACACGGCTGTAGCAGCAGCTGTGTTCTTGGTATAACTGCTTCAGGATCAGGACTTTTTTTTTTTTTTATGGTGGGCATTCCTGAAGCAGTTAATGACTATCGAAAAACTAGGCTTCTGCAAGACTTCACCCTGTATAAAGCTGTCCTCCTAAAATATAATTCCTTCCTCCGTGCTGCCAAGCAGACTTATTTTGGCTCTCTCATTAACACACTCATATCCAAAACTCGTCAACTCTTTTCTACTTTTAACTCTCTACTATGTCCCCCACCAACATCACCCACTAACTCATTTACTGCCCAGGACATTGCCATCCATTTCAAAAACAAAATAGATTACATTTTGGATCAGATCGCCACGGTGCAGTCACCTTCCCCTATTCTTGTACCAGACCCTCCATCACACTTGCTACTTTCCTCTTTTGACCCTGTCACCACAGAGGAGGTTACAAAGCTTCTCTCTGACACCCACCTCACCACTGTTCCCTCACCACTACTTCAGTCACCCTCTTACTCTATCCTACACTCTCTTACTCACATTTTCAATCTCTCACTCTCTACTGGCATCTTTCCCTTCCCTTGAAAGCATGTCCTGGTCACCCCAAAACCCTCAATGGACCCTACCGACCTCAACAATCTCAGACCAATCTCCTTACTCCCATTCACCTCCAAACTCAGAACGCCTTATCTACAGCCGACTGAGCTGCCACCTCGCTGATAACAACCTTCTCGATCCCTTACAGTCCAGCTTTTGCCTCCAACACTCCACTGAAACCGCCCTCCTAAAACTCACTAATGACTTACTAACAGCTAAAAACAATGGCCACTAATCCTTACTCTTGCTATTAGACCTTTCTGCTGCTTTTGAAACTGTTGACCACCTGCTCCTCCTCAAAAAACTCCACTCGCTTGGTCTACAAGACTCTGCCCTCTCATGGTTCTACCTAGCTAAGCGGTCCTTTAGTGTCACCTACAAATCTAACTCTTCCTCTTTCAAGACTCTGTCCTTGGACCCCTTCTCTTCTCTATCTACACCTCCTCCCTTGGTCAGTTAATAACGTCACATGGCTTCCAATACCATCTCTATGCCGATGACACTCAAATATATCTTTTTACTCCACAACTCACCCCCTCTGTGTCCTTGTGTGTCACTAATCTACTAACTGACATATCAGTCCAGATGTCACAACACTTCTGAAAACTCATTCTTTCAAAAACTGTGCTCATGATATTTCCTCCTGCCCGTGCACCTTCCACAAACATTTCCCTTGACATTGATAACACAATAGTTATCTAGCCTTCCCCCCATGCCAAGGTGTCATCCTTGACTCGGACCTCACCTTTATTCCCCACATCCAATCACTATCCAAATCCTGCCGCCTTCACCTTCGTAACATCTCCAAAATACGCCCCTTCCTTACCAATGAAACCGCAAAATTACTCATCCACTCACTTGTTGTATCTCGTCTTGACTATTGCAACTCCCTCCTCATTGGCCTACCTCTATACAGGCTATCCCCGCTTCAGTCTATCATAAATGCAGTTGCTAGACTCATTCACCTAACCAACCGTTCAGTGTCTGCAACCCCCCTCTGCCAATCCCTCCACTGGCTTCCAATAGCCCAAATGATAACATTCTAAATATTAAGAACCACTTCCAAAGCCATCCACAACTCTGCCCCTGGCTATATCTCATACCTGGTCTCAAAGTATCACCCTAACCGTCCCCTCCGCTCTCCAAAAGACCTTCTGCTTTCCAGCTCCCTCATCAACTCCTCCCATGCTCACCTCCAGGACTTCACTAGAGTCTCTCCCATCTTATGGAACTTTCTATCCCAACCTGTCCGACTATCTCCCACTCTGACTGCCTTTAGGTGATCCCTTAAGACTCATCTCTTCATGGAAGCCTATCCCACCTCAACCTAACCACTGAACTACCACTTTCTCAAACAATTCATCCCCACACAGCTACCTCCTCATGTATCACTTGCCCCTCCCTTTTAGATTGTAAGCCCTCAGGGGCAGGGCCTTCCTTACCATCTTGTCTTGAATTGTATTGTGATTGTAATGTCTTTCTTATGTTGTAAAGTGCTGCACAAACTGCTGGCGCTATATAAATCCTGTATAATAATAATAATAATACCGCCAAATGCTGTTGAGGCTAACCCCAGCAATAAACTCTTATTTGCTCCATTTTGGTTTGCAAAACATGTATTGGAAAATGTATTATTATAACTAGAGGTGCACCGAAATGAAAATTTTTAAAACGAAATATAAAAAATTTTCAGGCCGAAACCGATACCGAATATTGGAGGTCTAAACAGACCCCTGATATTTCCCTTTTAAAATAGAAAAAGAGATTTAGGGCACAGAGGTTTTCTATCTCTTTTTCTGTGTCCCCTGTTATCAATGAATAGGAATCCTCTATGAGTGTTCCTGTTCATTCATAACATGAGGACATTGTATGTTTACTATAACTACAACTATGAATGAACAGGGGATGATGTAGATCACTCCTATTCATTCATAATTGAGGCTATAGTTAACATACCATGTCCTCAATTATGTACAAACACTCAGCGATCACTGATCGCTGAGTGTGTGTACCTTGCTCTCCTCTCTGACATGCTGTCACAGGAGGCTGATCGAGCGGTGTAGAGAGGAGAGCCCAGCCTCCTGTGACAGCGCGGCCTGTCTCCACCCACACACCGCTCTGCCGGACTGTGATAGGAGGCTGAGCAGTGTGGTAGGAGACGCCGGCCACTCACATTGCTCTCCTCCTGCAGCGGATGGCAGCCTGTCACAGTTTCTCTCCTCCCCGCTGGGACGCAGAGCAGCGCCCAGCGGGGAGGAAAGAAAGCAGGGATGCACCGATGTATAGGCAGGAAAATGACACTTTCAGCATTATGCCAAAAGTGCAATTTTCGGCCGATATGTTTCGGCGGCCGATATATCGGTGCATCCCTAATTATAACTGTTTAAAAAGCACAAAAAATAGGACAGTCAAATCTGTTTCTTGGATTACAGTACAAGATATAGACAGTACAGAGATGGCTAGGTAATATGCGGGTATCATCAGGTGAT